AAGTGGTTACAACTAATTCTGGAATATTTTTTTTTCTAAAATTAAATAATAAGCTTATAAAAATAAATCATAATTTTCTTGACCGTGGAAAGGTCACAGTAAGTATGAGGAATGGACAAATTAGTCTCAAAAAGAGCACGGTAGAAAACTAGAACTAGGTCAAGTTTCAATACTAGAGTCTGTATTAATAATTCGAAGTCAATTTGTCATAACAATGAAGGGAAAATTAAAGTGAAGGTCTCTAGCTTGTCATAACAATGAAGGAGAGAAAAACTGAATGAAACATCAGGGCACAAAGGAAATGCATAGAAGAAATTTACTGAGCGAATTTAACGGGAGCAATTATTCGGAAGTATGAAGCCCAACTCACGAGCCACTCATTTTTTTGATGCCTCATTTTCATCATCATAGCCATTGGTTGTGTTTCAGTACTCTCTGCCTTTTAACTTCAGACATGACCACTGATTACTGAATGAAAAGCAAATTAAATTAACCAATAGACTAGCATGCATGGCTCACCAACTCACAAAATTTTATTTATTTTTCAAAATAGACCTTATAATTTCACCCAGCTTTTGCGATTCCATTTCGAAATAGTGACAATTTTCTAAGTTTTGTGTTTAGCATCATGATGAGTGATTTACACTCATTATATTATGCAATTAATTTTATGATTTTGCTATCTTGGAGAGTATTTTAGAAGTGCTAACAAGTGATTTTGATGTTGTTTTGTAAATTGATGGAAGTGGAGAAAACAAGAGTTAAAAGAGGTCAAAGGAAGGAAATAGGCAAAAGCTAGCGAAATTGGATGAAATGACCAAAATGTAAGAGATCCAAAGTTCGAGGATTAAAATGCAATTAATCAAAAGTCGTGTCGAAACTTGAAATGAAGATCCGAGAGTTCTAGAAGCCAATTGGATGAAGGAAGGTGTCAAAGGGATCAAATTTAGTCAAGATATGATCATAAATCATTTTCCAACCAAAACGTTTTGCACCGGGTTTTCAGCCTCATATTGAGACTCATTTTTTGACATAGCAAACGATCGAATTGGAGAATAATATCTGAAGCAAAGTTGTATCCCTTTGAGTTACCTTTCCAACACATCTTGAATCGCCTCAATCGGATATCGGGAGAAAGAATTATGATAAAAATACTAAAAGCTATCCAATGCAACCGAAGTAGTCCTCAGCGCCTAGGCGCCCAAATCGCAGCTCCCAGGCACCGCCGTGCGAGAGTAATTTTTTTAGGTTTTTACCATTCTTTTTCGGCCCAACTCATCTCCAAATCTTTCCCTAAACTCCAAGACATTATAAACAAAGAATTGAAGACCTAAATTAGAGGGGAGCCACACGCTAAAAATCTATGGGATCAAGCCACGCGTTCTTGACATATTGGAGAGAAGACAACAAGAAGGGAGATTGAAAAGAGAAATTCAAGAAGATTAACACCAAGCAATTGAATATTATAAGCATTCATTGGAAGGGGAAGGAGATCTTGATGCAAGAATTCTATTTTTTCTTCTACATCTTTATTACAAATCCGATGATGTATTCTAAGACAATTTTCTATTTTTCTTCCATTATTATGAGTAGTTAAATATGATTTTAGGGCGAACAATGTAATCTTTCGGAATCCCTTATTTCATGCAATTGAGATTCTAGTGCTTTTATATTTTATGTGTTGATTTTAATGTTGTTCTTAATACATGTAATTACTTGATCACTAATTAGATGATTTGTGAGCAATGATTGCGTAGAGATGCGGATTATTTGTTTAGACCACATGTTAAAATCCGGTAAATTGATATAACATGTAGAGATACCTATATTGATTGCTACGGTCGTGTGTGAATTCTTAGAACCAATGTTTCGTTTAATTAAATTTAATTTGCATAGAGATATGGAATTAAACTAATTAAATAGGCTCAATGAGAACTCGAGAGGGGTAAGTTGAATACAATAGAAGAATTCGACCGAACACTACCTTAGGTGTTATGAATCTTGATTTATGAAGTAAAGGTAACCAATAGGTGAAATTGTTCCGCCCTAACGTCCATTTATTGTTTGAATTCTCAATCACTTTTCGTTGCATCCAATCGCATTTTTAAGTATTTAGAATAAAAATCACATTTAATCATTGCTTTTGTTTATTTTGGTCAAATAGAAGTTAGAAATAATAAATTGGGCATTAAAAGTACAGTCCTCGTGGGAACGATAATCCGGACTCAAAATGTCCACTTTACTACTTGTTACTATCCGTTCACTTGCGGGATAAAATCGACAACAAGTTTTTGGCGCCGTTGCCGGGGACTATTTCTTTTAGTCTTAATTTTTTTAACTGTTATTTGATTTGTTTATTTTTCTTTTATTTACAGAAAATTGTGTTCGTTATATGCTCCGTGCCCAAGGCGACGATTTTGAACCGTTTGATTCGAAGATAGAACGTTACTTCAGATGAAGACGCAAGGAACACAAACAAAAACAGCAACATCAAATGGCTGACAATCAACAAATTCATATCCCTATTCAGCCGATTGGACAAATGGCCGCAAAGAGTGGTGGCACCACCGGAACAGCAGCATGAGCGAAGGGAAATAAGTGAAGGTGATTTGCCAGTATCAATGTTCCTGACAGCTATAGCAGCACCCATGCGCTCAAGCATTGTGTATCCAGATTTTGGGGTGAATAACTTTCAGATCAGGCCAGATTGGATTAACTTGATGAGCAACAATCTGCAATTCTACGGGTTACCTCATGAGAATCCGAACACACATATCTCCAGATTTCTCAGAAATTGTCAGAACTTCCATGCTCCGGGGGTCAATGAAGATGCTATTAAATTATGACTATTTCCATTTACATTAAGAGATACTACATTGGAGTGGTTAGATGCGGAGCCTCATGCCAGCATTACTACATCGGAAGAACTAATCAGGAAATTCTGCAACAAATTATTCCCACCAGCCAGAGTAGCTAAAATCAGATTGGAAATTCAAACTTTTCAACAGAAAGAGGGAGAAAGCTATCACGAGGCATGGAATAGATTTAATGAGCTGATGAGAAAATGTCCAAACCATGGAATCACTCAAGGAAACCAAGTGCAGTACTTCACACCGGACTTGCACCATTGTCAAAATCTCAAGTTGATGCCTCTGTTGGAGGATCAATCATAGGGAAATCAGTGCAACAAACCATGGACCTATATGAGTTAATTGCCACCACACATTCAATGTTTTCATCAGAAAGAGTAGTACCACCAAAGGCAGCAGGAATGTGTGAATTAGACAGCACAACATCTACCAATGCACAGATAACAACTTTAACAAAGCAGGTAGAGTTACTTGTAAAATTGCAAACACATGGAGCAAATGCAATGCTGGCCAGTTCAGCATGTGAGAATTGTGAGAGAAATCACGCTACAGAGAGCTGCATGATGCTCACTTCTTCAGAGGAACAAATAAACTTTATTCAAAATAGCTCCCGTAATTTCAACTCAAATGGTAACAATTTCCAGCAAGAAAGAAGACCAAGTTTGGGGGAGATGTTTCAACAATATGTGTAGAAGACGGACAAGGTATTCCAACAAATTGACACAAACTTCAAAATCAGCAGGCATCCATCAAGAAACTGGAGACACAAATTGGTCAGATAGCACAACAACTTGCAGAACGTCCACAAGGGACATTGCCAGGCAATACAGTGATAAATCCTAAGGAACAGTTGATGGCAATTAAAGTAGTGGAGAACGATCTACCCAGGGCTCCCCTAAAAGTTAAAGCATATGTACCTCCACTTCCGTTTTCCTAAAGACTTCGAAAGAAGTCGATGGAGCAAAATGTTCATGTCATAACTACAAAGAGCGAGGTACAAGCGCCAGAGATCACTACAGAGAGACCCAAAAGAAAAGATGGCCAAGAAGTGATTGATGAAGCTACAAGGGTAGAAAAATCTGTACCAAACGTAACTGAAAATGGAGAAAGTACAGAAACATCAGTTGCCAAAGCACCAAGTCCAGACAAATCTTACATGCCTCCCATTCCCTTTCCTCAAAAGATCAAGAAGAACAAACAAGACACAAACTATGAAAAATTTCTCGATGTTCTCAAGAAGCTCCAGATCAATGTTCCGTTCATAGATGCGATACTACAAATTCCAAGCTATAAGAAATTTTTGAAAGAGATGTTGACAAAGAAAAGAAAGTTTCTGGAGTTTGAAATTGTGGCATTAACTGAGGAAAGTAGGGCAAGAGTCCCAGAGAAAATTGCCTCCTAAATTGAAGGATCCAGGAAGTTTTACTTTACCAGTTTCAATTGGAAATTCCTATTCAACTAATGCATTGTGTGACATTGGTGCTAGTATCAATCTAATGTCGTATTCTGCTTACAGGAAATTGGGACAAGGTGAAGTCAACTCAACATTAGTAACGCTACAACTCGCTAATAGAACAATCGCAAGGCCATGTGGCAAAGTTGAGGATGTACTCGTAAAAGTAGGAAATTTAATATTTCCTATGGATTTCATTGTATTGGACATACCAGAAGATCGAGACATTCCAATTATATTGGGTCGACCATTCTTAGCAACGGGACGAACCTTTATTGACATGGAGAAGGGAGAACTAATCTTGAGAGTGGAGGACAAGCAGGAGATATTCAATATTTACATCCAATATCAGAAACCTCCCAATAAAAATGATTGCTGTAGAATTGATGAAGAAGAGCTACCTGATCAACGAAGCTGTCAAAACAAAAAAATAAATTTTGGAGAACTTCTTAGTAGAGATAAGAATGGACAAATCAAAAATTTGGGGAGCAAAAAAAGACTGCATCAATGAAAATTGCACAAAGTGCAATGATCGAATAACTTGGTTTGAGCCACCATGATAAATCAGCGGCACAAGTCAAGCTAATGACTTAAAAAAAGCGCTTCTTGGGAGGCAACCCAAACTTTTATTTTATTTTATTTTATTTTATTTTATTTATTTTGTTTTCAAAGTTCTAAGATAGTTTAATTTATAGTTTATTTAGGAATCATCACGCATACACGTTCTACCCATAGGTCTTGGAGTAATTAAGTTAGTTATTAGATGTTTGAGCTAAGTAATCCTTGTTCCATGAGTTTAATTTTTCACTAACATAACGTCGTGGAACACTCAAACCAACATGGACATAATGTAGAAGAAGAGTCAATCAAATGCAACACCAAGACACCACAACATCATAGGCAGTACTGACATTTCAGGAAAGTCCTCCTCTTTTTCCTTTAAATTTCACATTGAGGACAATGTTTCAGTTAAGTTTGGGGGAGTGACATCATTTGCTTACATTGTTGAGTTTCTCGAATGCTTATGTGTGATTTGCTTGTTTTATGTGTTTGTGTTTTTATTCAAAAAAAAAATTCATTTTGTGTTTTTGCATGCTTGTGTGTGTTAGATAACCTTGCCGGTATTGATATGTGTAATTGAGAACATGCGTTGATTTATGAATTGTGGACAAGTTATGTGTTTGAGTTAGATTTTTGCTTATTCATGTGAAACGAAAATTATTTTTGCACATGAGTTGATTGTAGTTTTGTGCATGAGTAGGTTGATTCATGTTTATAGGTTGAAATAGAGCACTTAGCTACTAAACTCAAACAACCATTAAACATCACAATACCCTTAAACTAAACATAGGACATTTGGATGATTACACTGTTGTAGGGATATTTGGAGATAAATGTGGATTTCGTGTGTGTTAATTTTTGTGTGGATTGTCTGAGACCAATAGGATGAAAATTGGGTGAAAACCTTAAGTTAGAGGTCGATTTTCGAGGATAGGTGTTTAGTAAGGGGCATTGCACTAATCACTGCATAAAAAAAAAAGATCCCAATGAGGACAACTTTAATAATCTCATTGTGAATCGTCTCTTCGTAGCCTTTATGACTCGAGTGATTAAGCCTGTAAGGGTTTAAAACCTGGTGTCCCTAAAGTCATCTAATTTGGGAGTTATCGGCCTAAAACTCGCTACAGGGGTCATTTAGAAAGCTTAAGGGAGAGACATCCACACAAAGAGTAATTAAAGAATAAAGATATATACAAAAAAAAAAAAGAGAGAGAAAAATATATATCAAATGCCTTGATTATGCCCCGAACACTTGTTTTAGAGGATTAGACAAAGGGGTTAGTAACTTGGTTGATTCCTAGAGGTTGAAGCAGTCAAAAATAAGGAGAATCCTCATTTGTTGACATGTGGAACTACAATTAGTAAAATCTAACCAAACTTGAGTGGTGTAAAAAATTAGTATTGAAAATTTAACCTTAGGTTACGCCCTTGGAAAGAGAAAAGAAAATAAGTTTAGGGGTGTGTGAATCCCACGAGCAAAGTAAGGAAAAATTTGACTTCTAAGGTCGGGAATTGGGTCAACTTCTTATTGTACAGCTTTGCATTTGACTCTCCACACACACACACACACCCGTTTTGCATTGAATATGTGAGAATTTAACTTTTGCATTATAGCTTCGAAGTGGTTCATGGAATCGAAGTTATGTTTTTAATCCCGAGACATGAAGGCAAGCTATCTAGCGAAATTTATTTTAAGTGATTTTGTTTGTCTTAGTTGTGCTTGTGTGTCCATTAATTATTTTGATGGGTTTCGGTGTTTGCTCGAGGACAAGCAAAAGATTAAGTTTGGGGGTGTTTGATGAGTGATTTACACTCATTATATTATGCCATTAATTTCATGATTTTGCTATCTTGGAGAGTATTTTAGAAGTGTTAACAAGTGATTTTGGTGTTTTTTTGTAGATTGATGGAAGTGGAGAAAACAAGAGCTAAAAGAGGTCAAAGGAAGGAAATAGGCAAAAGCTAGCGAAATTGGATGAAATGACCAAAATGTAAGAGATCCAAAGTTCGAGGATTAAAATACAATTAATCAAAAGTCGTGGCAAAACTTGAAATGAAGATCCGAGAGTTCTAGAAGCCAATTGGATGAAGGAAGGTGTCAAAGGGATCAAATTTAGTCAAGATATGATCATAAATCATTTTCCAACCAAAACGTTTTGCACCGGGTTTTCAGCCTCATATTGAGACTCATTTTTTGACATAGCAAACGATCGAATTGGAGAATAATATCTGAAACGAAATTGCATCCCTTTGAGTTACCTTTCCAACGCATCTTGAATCACCTCAATCGGATATCAGGAGAAAGAATTATGATAAAAATACTGAAGGCTGTCCGGTGCAACTGAAGTAGTCCTCAGCGCCCAGGCGCCATGATGCTGAAATTTTGACAAAAAGTCAGCGCCTAGGCACCCAAATCGTAGTGCCCAGGCGTCACCGTGCGAGAGTAATTTTTTTAGGTTTTTACCATTCTTTTTCGGCCCAACTCATCTCCAAATCTTTCCCTAAACTCGAAGACATTATAAACAAAGAATTGAAGACCTAAATTAGGGAGGGAGCCTCACACTAAAAATCTATGGGATCAAGCCACGCGTTCTTGACATATTGGAGAGAAGACAACAAAAAGGGAGATTGAAAAGAGAAATTCAAGAAGATTAACACAAAGCAATTGAATATTATAAGCATTCATTGGAAGGGGAAGGAGATCTTGGTGCAAGAATTCTACTTTTTCTTCTACATCTTTATTACAAATCCGGTGATGTATTCTAAGACAATTTCCTATTTTTCTTCCATTATTATGAGTAGTTAAATTTGATTTTAGGGCGAACAATGTAATCTTTCGGAATCCCTTATTTCATGCAATTGAGAGTCTAGTGCTTTTATATTTTATGTGTTGATTTTAATGTTGTTCTTAATACATTTAATTACTTGATCACTAATTAGATGATTTGTGAGCAATGATTGC